CATCATGGTTGGGCTGGAACTTATTCAGGCTTTCATAAGACAAGAGACAGACTACACCCTGAACAGGACACGTCACCAACCTATCTCAGTGCTAACATAAAGAGACAGATAACCATTCGTAGCTACAGCCACGTTAGAGTCACCAGTTAACTTCATTTGCACGTCTTTGGACTGTGAGAGGAAGCCAGAGAAAACCCTTGCAGACTGCACACACAATGGCCCCAGAAAGCTGATGGATTCAAACCCGGGACCTTGCCGATGTTAGGCAATGTCGCTAACCACCACAGCACTGTGCTTTAGATGTGTGGCTTTCATTCTGCAGCCGTCTTGGGTCTCATCATCATCTTGACTACTTTTTCTTGGCTCGACAGCAGCTAAAAGAACCGTTTCATGGTTCGCCATGAGGGCTGACAGGACGCTGGTTGTTGGTTTCTGCATGCTAACGGCTAACTAGCAGTTGCATCTTTACTGTAACGATATGGAAGAAATGACCAACAGCGTCTTTTTTGTTCTGGAGCAGCACATCTTAAGAATTCATGTCTAAATAAAGGCGACAACTTCTCTGCTGCATCCTCAACAGCATGAACGTGTTCCTCAGATGGCGTGCTGAAACCAACAGCCAATGAGGTCGTCCCTGCACCAGTGACCATCGCAGCCAGTTTGTAAAACTTCTGGTTCTTTCTCTCAATATTTGCAAATTCCCCTAAAACTCAAACATTACATAGAGAACTGGACTATAATGACATCATTGATTAGTATCTGTAATGTGGTTACAGCAAATAAAACGATGCTGTTTTTATAGTTTTATTGTTTTATTTGCTGTTTGATTTACTGTCATATTGTTTTATATTTCCATTTCCTGTGCTGTAAAGCACTTTGTGATTTTTTTAATCTGTAAATTTTACTTACTTACTAAACTGAGAACATCACAAGTGTCTACAGTATTGCCATGTGCATACTGAGTAGATTTGAGCATTTTAGACTGTTTGTATTGGCAGCAAAAGATGATTTATGTTGCATTAAAACCATTCTTGAAACTTGCATCAAAAGGAAAGTACAGAAGTGACACCGCACCTTGGGTTGGCCAGAGTGTAGAAGCCAGAGTTGTTGTTAATCTCAACAGAACAGCTGCGATGAGGCATTGTGTTGATGCGATGGCAGGAGGAGGCTGTGAATCAGAACATTTCACTTATATCACCATTTTTAAAGAAAAGACACAGTTTGTCAAACTGTTCTGCTTAATGATGTGGTGACGGTGGCTACAATTACACGAGTGAAGCCTTTAAATAGAAAATGCAGACCTGTTTCCTGTGAAATCACAAGTTATCATTTGAATTCACAGTGACAGTTGACTAAAGGTACTTCATTATTATAAGGCAATATTATTGCAGAGAGAATCCCAATACTAGACTGTCCTGTACGAACATGCAGGAACAACTGGTTTTGTCACGAGCAGAAACTGAGTTACGGTGGTTTAAAGAGCCTTTGTAAAATGGGCCAATGGTGGAACAAGAATTAAGAAAGATGAGGTTTAATATGAAAGTCTTAATAATATAAGATCGTCCTGCTGGGGTCCATTAGACATGTTGATGGTTTGGATTAAGTAATTATTAAAATGTATATTTTATATGTAGCTGTCATTGTTAGTTTACATTTTCTTAGCTCCTTTAATCTAATTTGTATTACATAAAGCTAATATTAATGCTTATGTTAATGTTTGCATGTTTTATTTTAGCAACCTAAATTCCAAATGAGGGTCTCACCAGTCAGATGGTCGACTCAAACGCTGACTGTGCCAAATATCCAGACTATAAAATGACACTCAGACTAATCAGTGAATAAATGTGGTGCAGAAAATCTGCTATTGAAACCCAGATATTACCTGGAAATAAAGCCACAAACATTAGCTCACATCAGTGAAGGTAAGTTTGAATCATATTGGACGACTTACCTTTGTATCACTGAAAAATACAAAACTGGCTGTTTGAGCAAACGTTGTTAGTCCGGGTATGAACGAGTCCCACTGTACATTAGCTGTTATCACACCAGGTTATATTGACTCAGGTAATCAGCACGTACCACCTGACTCCCTTATCTCGTGTTCAGGATCAGCTTCCCACCCCTCTCTTTCTCTGCCGTACCTAACAGTGGTCGGACGGATCCACGCCTTTGGGAACACTTTTGGTAGAACCTTTAAGGTGGTTATCGAATGTTTGTACGAGGTGGGACTTCAGGATGCTTTACAGCGTGTGTTACACACACACATAAACACCACTGAGCTTTCAAGCTGGTTTTTCCCTAAAAGAGATGAAGTCCTGCATTTCTGTCTTTATTTGTCTTAGTTCTACTTTATAAAATGTTCTTTTTTTTTACTAATGATATGAAAAACATGCAGAAGTCCCTTTTAAACATGACAGATGTGTAACTTCAGTAACAGCAAATTTCACTTTTATTCCAGAGACACACAACACTCAGCCTGCTGGACACACTTGCTAATAAGTGAATTTACAAACACACACACGCAGGAACAGAAGCTTCATGATGTTCTGACTGTGGTTTAACTTTGCTCAGTATTGAACTGGTAGCAGGGCTGATCAGTGTCTCTCTGTGTTGCTGACATTGTGATGCCTGAGCAGGAAAAGGTACGAGCACGTCTGTCAGATCCTCCTGAATGTTGTTCGTCTGGTGTTCAGCCTGAAACATCACTCTCTATGTGCATCTTGGTTTGGCATGTTATTTGGTTTCATTTGTTTATTTTTATTTACAGTTGATTACTTTTGGGGGGGTTGTTTTGTTTTTTATGTTTAAATTATGTGCTTTTTATTTCTGGTATTGCACTCATAAAACTGAGGACTGGGACAACTTTCAGTTTGTCTTTTGCCTCTTTTTTTGCCAGTATTTCTCCTGCTTTGTCAGTTAAACGGCCTCTTCCTCTCCAGATACCAACCAGGCCTTGCGGCTCTGTCTGGGTACCAAGACGACTGGAGCGGAGTTTGGCGCCGTCTCTGCCCTGAGCATCAACCACGACTGCTCACGACTTCTCTGCGGCTTTGCCAAAGGACAGGTACGAGGACAAGATAAAATAGACTTTATTTGCCACTAATTTACAATTTATTTTGTTAAAGCTGCCAAATAATAATGATGATAATAATAACAGTTAAATCATAGGGCCCTTTCACCTCAGTGCATGTCGTGACTTGACACTGTGGAGGTGTTTGCTGTAGTCAGGTGGACGAGCCCAGGATTCTCACTGTTGTTACTACCCGTGGCCAGTGGGTGGCGTATGAGATCACTCACTACTTATGTGTTCCTGTGATATTAACACTGAACATTTCAGATAGAAACAGATGATTTTTATCAGCTGTAAGGTTGAGGATGTTTTGGATAATTTCAATTTGAGATTTAACAATTTAATGTCCTGTAGTGATTAATCCAAATTTGACATCCCATCACAGACGTGTCCTTCAGTTAAAAAAAAACTCACATGCTTCGCAATTTAGCATCGCCAGGGTCATTAGGTTGAATTCACCAATGCTCGTGTTGGTCAGATGAAATCTCTGGGAGAAATTTGATTAACTACAACAAAACTGCTGCCAAAATAATTCTTACATTCAAAATATCTGTCCCCCTTTTTGGTTTAGGACCAAACTTTAAGAGTTTTTTATGTTGTTTTTAAAAACATTACATTAAGCTGCCAAATTTGAACGATGGCTGGATAAGTACATATATATAGAGATACATAGATAGATATAAATAGACTTTATGAATCCCACTCTGGGGGATTTCACTTGTTATAGCAGCACAACAGTGAGGAAGAAAAAATGAATTTGGGGAAAAAAAAAGAAAAACAAGAAAATTACAAGAGTAACTAGAAGTCGATGTTTTTTATGTGTACATGAAGTGCAGTGGGGGTGATGATGTACATGTATTTCAGCAGTTATCTGTATTTTACAGTGTGACTGCTGTTGGGATGAAGGGATGACCTCCCCACCAGGGGAGTTGTCACATACCTGTACAAAGGTGTTAGAAGGTAAAAGACTGCAGGAGTCACTAAAAA